GTATAAAAAGACTGCCTGTGATCTACCCATTGTCATTGCCAGTTGTTGAGCTTTTTTTTTAGGGGTTTGGGGGGCAGCCCGGGAGCACAGGCCTGTCAAAAACGAAGGGGGAAGGACACAGCTCCCCCCTTCCCCCAGCAACTTGGGGAAGGCGCGCCAAATGTCATCCCCCTCGGAGATGACACCAGGGCGGTCTGCACCCACCTTGCTCTGCCCCGCCTGCCAATCCGGCAGTTCAAAAGGATGCCAGTGGAAGTAGATAAATAGGTACCACTGTGGCAGGAAGGTAAACAGTGTTTCCGAGCGCTCTGGTTTCCGTCACCGTGTTACATTGCACCAGAAGCAGTTTAGTCATGTTGGCCACATGACTCTGAAAAGCTGTCTACGGACAAACGCCGGTCCCATCTCAAGTTCTAGTGGTTCACTATAGAGCAGACTTCAGGAATTGTTCATCAGTTCCCACATTCCCTTCAGTTCTGCTGCAGCTGTCACTGCTTACAACCAGCCACACCTTTTCCTGGAAGGGTGCAATACAGATTCATGTAGAAGTGTTTTTAGAATTGCCTCTTTGTGCACATTCAGGAAACTGGAAAAGCAAACAGGGTGTTGCGAATCCATTTTGTTTTAAAAGGTTGCTGAGTCACACCTGGCAACTTGCCAGGTGTGGCTCACCCTTTAAATGTGGATTTTTCATAGCCTGGTAAGACATTTTGTTTGGGTGGGCATGTGCAAAATATGACTAAGCCCCTACTAGCCCTTCTCCAAGTTCTGCCTATGCCCCCTGAGCTTTTATCACTACAGTCGTGAACCTACATGATTGAATCAATATCCAGCCCCAGTGCCAATACTTATTGATATGTAACATACAATGGTACCTTGGTTCTCAAATGCCTTGGTACTCAAACAACTTGGAACCCAAACAATGCAAACCCAGAAGTGAGTGTTCCGGCTTATGAACTTTTTCTGGAAGCCGAACGTGCTCCATTTTGAATGCTACGGTTCCGATTTGAGTGCCACACTTCCATTTTGAGTGTTGCACTGAGGTCTGCCTGTTTTTGCTATTTGTTTTGCGTTTTTGTGGATCTTTTTTGTTTTGTTTTTGTGACTGTGTGGAATCGTTCAGCTATTGATTGATTGTGTGACTGCAGTAAATTGCTTATTGTTTTCATTTTATGGTTCAATGCTCTTGTTAGATAGTAAAATGCATGTTAAATTGCTGTTTTAGAGGTTGTTTTTAAAAGTCTGGAATGGATTAATCCATTTTGCATTACTTTCTATGGGAAAGCGCACCTTGGTTTTGGAATGGATTTCTTGAACAGATTAATTTTGAGAACCAAGGTACCACTGTATTATTTTGTTCCCAATTATAAAACAGATCACGCTATAGGTTAAGGCTGATGTTACATGAGGAGATATAATTTTGTGACCCAATTTTCAGCCAATTTATATCAGACCATTAATTCTTTTGTCATTGTCAATAAAAAAGTAGTTTTCAGGAACAGATGTATCAATTTATTCGCTTGTTCAGGAAGTAGGCTTGAGACAGAGTAACAATTTCAATCTTCCTTCCCTGTGCTACTAGCGCCCCCCAGTAGGAAAGACTACTAGTTAAAATCTTGGGCAGCTATCTGCAGTCAGTTGCAGAGAGTATTTGGCCAGCCAGGCTGTTGGTCTCTCTCAGTATAAGTCAGCTTCTCATAGACTATTCCTTGGGGTCCTCTGAACAGGCAGTTAATCTAGTAAACAGACCACATGAATTGTTTGGCTGTCGCTTTGGTATTGCACCAATTTTCTATGTGCCCTGAAACAATTATGGGGTTTGCTACACCGCCCCACCTCCTGTGGGTTTGGGTTTTTTTTTGGTAAAACAAAGACAATAAAGTCATTGTAATAAATACTTACTCACTCTTTCATGCGAGGACAATGAGCTAATGTTTATTTAGTACTTTGAAGCTGCAAATGTACCAACACATGAGCTGAAGTTGCTATTGCCGCAGCACTTTTTCCAGTGCTTTGTCCAATCTAGCTTTAAATGACTCAGTTAATGAGATGCTCACCATTTCCCCAGGGAGATCATTGCGCAGTGCAGTTGAACAAGTTGTCAAAGCTTTTAGGGTACTCATCCAAAATCTGTCAACTGCTTGATTTTGTTGTGTTTTCTTATTTAAACTGAAGTCCATCCCGATCCACCTGGTCTATTTGGCTGATGCAGTTATGGCACACCACTGTCTACAGCTTCCTTATAGCATAAAAGGAGGCAAAAGGTCAGCCCAATGGATCAGGTAGCTAACAATATTCAAGTTCAGGCAATTATCCATGGCCAAATGTTATACCGAACAGCTTCAAATGCATATACTGTTTGGCTTCTATCTAGCTCATTTCAGAACTACAAATTACAAGGAGCACATTGCACCTTTGCAAATAATTATAGTTGCTTGTATTTTTCTTACTTTATTATGCAAACAGAAAGCTTCTTTATTTTAAGCATTCCCAGTTCTGACACCATCTTCTAACAATGATGGATATTCCTTAGGGCAGCTCTGTGTTGTTCCGTTTATATCTATCTAGCTCTCTAAACCGCAGCATTGAAAAGTGATTACCGGTATTTATCTACCTAGGTCAGGGAGAGATAAGCCCCTTGCCAAGGCATTATTTCCATTATATAACATTAAAATAGCATTTGAATTTGTCAGAAGTTCCATCTATCCAGGGCAGGTTTAATTGCATCCATAAGACCAGGGACCTATCACTGGGAATTCAACAGGTCATTAAGCTTAAACTATTCATGAGTCAGGGACCATGCTGAGGAGGACTGCACTGGGGAGGACTGGTGGGAGCACCAGGAGGACAGTATAGATTCGGAACAGTGGTTTGCAGAAGGACATAGTTCAGAAGGCAGAAGTTGAGAAGTATTGGAGGGGGGAACAGCTAGGAGAAGCACTGGGAGAGAGTTAACAGATGCACTGTCTCTGGAAAGCATTCACCCGTTGTGCCCAAGGTCAAGAAAAGCAGATAAGGTGGCAGCACAGAAAGCATAGTGGTTACAAGACCAGGTTACAAGAAGTGGTAGCGACTTGGGTGATTAGGGAGGAAGTGGGTGGAACCCTTAATTGGGAGCACCTTCATTCCTAGGAATGGATTCTTTGTTCTCTCACCGTGATCGTTAAAGGTTATAACTGGTAAGAAGAGTCCTTTCTCTTTGTTCTGCTTATCTACGGCCAAAGGGGGGGGGCTTATTCCCTGAAGCCTGACATCATGCAAACTATGTAACACAATGCAATCCCCTCTTCTCAAACCTATTATCCCAGAGTTTTGTTGTTAGCCGCCCTGAGCCCGGCTTCAGCTGGGGAGGGCGGGATATAAATAAAATTTATTATTTATTATTATTATTATTCTTGAAGCCCGTTTTTTGTTTCTTGAAGCCCAGTTCAAGCAAAGTTCCAGGAACATGTTTAGAAGAGTACGTTACGTGTCCTCTGGGAAGCATCTATTTGTTTCATTTTTCAGTCCTCATGGGCAGAAACTGAAGTCTTAATGAACCATTAAGGCTGTTGATGGGCATAACCCGGCCAAAGTAACACTGACTTCAGATACTGATCTCACTTCACGATTCAATTGTCATCACCAATCCACTATGGAGTGTTATTTTGAGGGCACACAGCAGCTGATCCTTCAGGTGCTTTGTATAAATCAAGAGATAAACAAAAAGATTGCTGTTCACCACCTTATAAAAGCTAGTTGGGCTGTGATCTTACCACATATACACACAGCACAGGAAGAGACCAGTTACAATATAAAAAGAAGGGCAATCAACCTATAGGGTCTTCGCAATATCAAAAGATTGTTTGAATTACCTATGAACCTAACTCCACGTCATCAGTTACATTAAGGTAAGTTCTTGCCAGTTTGGTCCTTGATAACAGCATCTTGCCAGACAGGTGCTCTTCTGAGCACACGATGGGGCAAAATTTCTCTAGATTCCACCCACCTCTGCTGCATCATGAGCAACAGATTTGGCTCACTATGTGGTAAAATCTTTCAATAGTATGTTAGAGTAGGGCTGGATCTAGACCCATTGAAGAAGCATTTCAGTTAAATGGGTTGAAAACTTTGTATGAGAAATTGGGTTAGCAAAAATGGAACTCCAGAGCACCATCTTGCGTCATAATGTTAGAATGTATAAACAATGCATATAAAGTGTTTTTTCTTTGCGAATGTAGCTGAGTCCTGGATGCCCTGGCTTTTTCTCATTTTCTTGTTCCAATAAACTCACTAAGGGAAATTCAACACTAATCTCTCCTTAATATTTACATTGCCTGCATTGTTTTTTTTAAAAGCTAAATCAATTACGCACACATTTTAAGGTAGCTTAACACTGAGTCAGACCACTGGTCCATCTAGTTCTGTGACTTCTACATGGATTGACAGCTACTTTCCAAGGGCTCAGTGGCCTCGCCGTGCCAAGCTACCTGAAATTCTTTTACCGAGATATGCCCTGGGCTGAACCTTGCACAATTCTTTCTAACAATGGCCTGGTTCGTGCATCACAAAAAGACTGGCTTAGAATGAGCATGTGAGCACGCATGCTCGAGGAGATCAGAGGAGCTCTGCTTCTCCCTGGTCATTCTGGTGCTGCACTGCACTAAGCCTCAGTATGTTATCCAAACCCAGGTTTGTGGTTTAGCTCTCCTTTGCAAACCATGAGCCGTAGAACATAGACCAAACCTTGGCTGCAGCTCATGATTGGTTTGGAAAGAACTAAACTGGAAGCCCAGAGTTGGATGACATGTTAAGCCTAATGATGTCTAAGCACAGCATAGCAGCAGAAGAACTGGGAAGGAGCAAGTGGCTGCGATCTCTCTAGGAGCCCACAAACTCACCCCAAGCTGCTGCTTATGTGCAATCCAGATCAATATATTAAAGCAGGGATTTATTCCAACAAATATTTGTTTCTTTTATGAGTTGGTTGCTTCTGTTTCATGTTCTTTACCACACCCAGATGAAAGGAGAGTTAGGTGTTTTATTAAAAGTATTTATAGCTTTCTACTTCAATAAGTGGAAAAAGACAGCCAAGCGTACAAAGATTGGCAACAGAGTCCTGTAAAATTGTAATTGTTACATCAGTGATTTTCACAAAAGAAAGCTAGAGCTAGGCACCTTAATCTATAAACATAGATTAGAACATAATGTAGAACATACATTAACAGATTGCAGTGCTTTTTAAATAGCTATAGGTTTTGGATACTATTAATAAAAAGCAATGCTCAAAACTAATTTGCTGAATATATGTTCAACAAGTCAGGTGCAAAGCAAGTTGCTCCAACTCCACATCCGATTTTGCTTTGTCAGGAACTATCATGGATTTCCCCTTCTTCCTCAGACGAGTTTTCCTGATTGGATTTACTGGCATCTAAAGGAGAGAAGGGGAAAGAAATACAATATTTATATATTTACTAAGCTAACCCCAGCCCTGGTTTTGCACCCTCCACAAATGTATCCTATTATTCTCTTCGATTTAAATGGATTCTTATCTACTATATGATTTTGGGTATTTTTATTTATACCACTTACAAACTTTGGTGATTAAGTGGTATAAAAATAGGTGGAATAAATGAATAATAAATGCACATGTCCACAGTACATAGTTACTTGCAAAGTAACTATCATTCATTCATTCATTTATAAATTGTATACTGCCCTTCATCTGTAGGTCTCAGGGGTGGTTCACAATATAAAGACGCAATATAAAACTACAAAATACACAATAAAAAACAAGGACGAAAAAAATCCCACAAACCAATAAACCTCCTCCTCCCCCCAAACACATTTAAAAGGGGTATAAGATGTTCATCATTAGCAGGTGGAAGTTCTACCAATTGTTCATGGAGTTACTCCTAATCCAACCCCTAATCAGAATCCAAGAAGGACTGCCATGTGGTGTGGGAATTCTTGCCTGAGTATTGTGTTTATTGACTAGACCTGGTCTTATAGTTCTGGAGGTGCAGCCACATAGGCTTGCAAGTTCTGTTTGGAAGTGTAGGAGGGCTTTGTAAGGGTAAAAGATTGCTTGGCTGATTTCTTCTCCATCTCCCTTAGACAGAGCAGTCAGGCTTTTTTTCTTGCCCCTAGTTCCAATGAGGATGGCTTCCAAGTGGTGCTCAGAGAGCTACCTTCTTTAAAACGGGATGCCTGTGACTGCTGCCTCACATCTACCACAAAAACTGCACAGCAATAGACTTTTTTCTTTTTTAAAATTTCTATACCTTCCTTTCTACTGTACAAGGTGGCTCACAACAATTCAAATCACAATCTGAAAATATAATAAAAGTGTTCCTTTCTGATGTGCTGTCGGAGACCATGGGTGCAGTTTCAAGTGAGTGCTTCTAGCAATTTGTTGGCCAGGAAGACCACTGAGAGGGAATTTTCCTGAGTGAGTTTCTTTTCTGTTTCATTAAACATTTCTTTCGCAGGACAAAAGGATGCAATTTTTTCTATATTCAATGTAACACCTAACTGCTGGAACAATACTACAGTATCTATTATCTAGCCTTTCCTTCAAGGAATAAAGGCAGCATATATCCCACCCCCCGTGAGAAAAGTGAGGCTGAGAGATAGCGACTGGGTCAAGGTCACCCGGTGAGCTTTAAAGCTGAACCCGGGTGTTCCCAATCTTAGTCTGGCACTCTCAGAATACTGGCTCTCATAAGAAACCGTATTTATAAAGCAAAACTGGATTCGTGGAACACAGGGTGTGGTGATGTATCACTAGGTGGAAAGACTCAACATGACAGCCATCATTTGTAATGTCAGGCAGAACAGAATTTGGCATTTCGTTCAAACTTCTGATTTACACAGAGCACTACTGAGAATTGGTCTTGTTTCATGTTGGAACCCTTTCAATGAAACTAAGACATGACGCATACATGTTGCCTTTTTGTATAGTTCAACATTTCAACATAGCGTTTGCAAGTCTGAGCCAAAGCGAAGATGTTACAGATTCAAGCTGTCCAGAGCTCCAGGACTGACTGATGTCATCATTTCCTGAAGTCTTTGTCAACCTTCCCCTCCCTCTCCCACCCTCCAGATCACCCCAATTCTCCTGCCACAGCCCTACCAACCCCTCCTCAGATGAGGTCAACAGATATATATATACACACACATATAAAATGCATGTTTGCAAAGGAAATACACATAATTTTTCTTATGGGTATTTTCATTTAACTAACATTGCTTAACACCAATGTGTTCTTTTGTACATATGAGGCCAAAGGCTTCTTATTAGAGAAATATTACTAAGATGGAGTTAATGGGGAATTGTTACGTAGTCATGAAATGCTGAGCAGATGGTCAGCAGGGGTAACACTGGGATCAAGTGTGCACCTGTATAACTTCAATGGAATCTAGACAAGAAAATAAAAGCACTTCACCCAGAAACGGCTGAGGTCACATTTTGTCTACATTAAATCTAGTGTATAATCAATTAGCATCTATATGCCAGAGATGTACTGAGTACTGAGATAGAAAGAAATGTTTTTGTCCCTAAGTCTTGTAATAACTTCTATAATCCTTTAGTAATTCTAGCCGTGACTATGCTTGCAGACAGAATGGCGAACACCTGTACTTTCTTTAAACAAGACCAACCATACTAACCCCATAAAGCAGCGTAAACAATCTGATTTAAAATTACTTTTAATTTGAAGGCTAGGGCCCTTTTTCTATTATGCTTTCATCGCAGAACACTGCCTGCTTTTTAAGTGGAATACTGTATTTTATTGTGTATGCATATATAAATTCAGGTTGTGTCTTTTGTCAATTTGTGCAGAGAAAAACACATACTTTCTAACATATTGCTCAGTTACAAACGTAACTAATGAAATATCAATCTTATTCAAAGACAAGAATATAAATCCAGAATTTTGGTGATCTCATTGCAAGGCCCGTTGTAAGATCTTTCCAAGGTGACCAGAACAGAAAGAATCTGCTGTTTCAATAGGCTCATGAATGTTTTCAAAGTTTTTGGGTCTCATAAGGAAAAACATTCCAGATATTTCAATTCTAGAAGTGTTTGGTTGTGACCTGCACTTATATCCACATTACCACTGACTATCTATCTATGTAAAATAAAATAGAAAAATTCTACATAGGCAGCAACTAAAATACCATGGGAACGCCAAATCTTGCTAAAAACGGCCAATCGGGCACAATTCACAGCAGCTTCTTAGCGAGAAGAGGTTTTGTAAGGTTCAGTTTCCCATTCAGATTAGCTAGTGCTCACATGTTCTACAAATGGAAAGGTATGATCCACATTATGCTATTAGCAGCTAGATTAAATTCTTTTTTGTTTTGTTTTGTTTTGTTCAAGCTACTGAACTCACTTATAGAGTAAGCTTTTTGAAAAAGGTTATTTTGATGTAAACCACCTTGCACCCTGGTTATATATACAGGACATATGTATACATAGAAACATAAGCAAGCGAAGAGGGATATCAGAAAAACTTCCTTAGCCCCAAACTTATTCCAGAAGACAACAATGGCATCCTCCCTTTTTAAGATGTATGCCATTACTGTGCCTGCTCAGCACTGCCAGTGCAACACTGTAGCCATTTACCACTGAAGCCTACCCTGATGTGTTTGATCTTTGTTATTTGTTAATTATTATTTGTATTTATAACCTCCTCTTCCATCAAATAGTTGCGGGGTGGGTTGCAAAAGCGTAACCATTGCAAGTACCACACACAATTAAAAATCAGGAACAAAAAACTGCCGCACAGAAAAGAGCTACGCTAAAATACCACGGTATACAACTAAAATACAATGCAAGGGATTAAAACATTGTTCCAGCTGCATTTAAAAGCTCATCTTCCATTAAGTACAGCACCCTCAACTCCTAAAAACATAGCGAAAGGAGGAAGGGAGTCTGCAGGTAGCATATGACGCTGCCTCTTCTGTGTGGTATCTAGGTATAACATGGAGTCTGTCTATGGTAGGAAAATATGTTGCTATGCACACTGGAAAGTTACTGCAGCAACCAGAGAGGTAAGGTTGTGTAGAGCCCCACCACCACAACTTTTTGGTACTTTTCACGTCACCCTTGATTCTTAATTCAATTTGGACTCCAAGCAACATTTCTGCGCCAATTACTAATATGTCTGGCTGCAAAACAGCTGGCCGCCCAGACGCCACTGGGTTCTTTAAAGCTGCACTTGATAACCCGAGAGCATTTTGAGATGCATTCGTTCTTTTTCTTTCGCATCTACTCTACCCAGAAATATCGGCCAAATGTATAGGCTATAAAACACTTTGGCATGTTCAGGTCTGTGCAGTTTGCAAAGCAGAAGCCTTATTTGTCACAAGAATGTAAGAGAGCCTTGCTAGATCAGGCTTAAGGCCCACCTAGTTCAGAATCCTGTTTCTCACAGTGGCCAACCAGATGCTATGGGAAATCCACAAGCTGCGTATGCATGAAACAGCCCTTTTATGCCTTAGGAACTGATATCTGGACCATGCTTCCTCTGAGCCTGGAGGTAGCATATAGCCATCATGTCCAATATAAACATTAATATATTTATGTGGCAGAATATTAAAATATTATTTCTTCCTAGCATACTGACTCTGGAATATAGGATATGACCAAGAAAAAGAAATGGATTAATTCTGTTCCAAGGTATTTTGAAGGTTTCACAGTAGAGGAAGCAAACTTTTCTCAGTTATGTAACCAACCATAATTTGTAAGATATATTCAAGCATTGCCTGGTGCCTTCAGACTTCCAGTTACCAAGCAGGCATTTGATCTGGTAAAACAAATCAGCTGCAGATGCTAACAAATGCTATGCTGCAAAATTGTCTGGAAGGTTATTCATATAACAGGTATGTGTTTATGTACCCTATCAAATTTGATGGCTCAAAAACCCGGAACTATGGTTTTGACGCATTTTAGATCTATTTTACATTATCATAAACTGGTAAATAAAATGCTAACGGTATTATAAAAAGGTAAAGGTACCCTGCCTGTACGGGCCAGTCTTGCCAGACTCTAGGGTTGTGCGCTCATCTCACTCATAGGCGCTGAGGTTTAACCCACAGCGCCACCCACGTCCCTTTTAACGGTATTATAGTGATTAAATTACTTAAAACCTAACCGGAAAGGGTCAACATATACACTGATAATATATATAATCCAAGTAATTGCAACAGGGGGGAATGCTTTATTATTTACAAGCTGATGCTCATTCCTGGTTTTAACAGGATAAAGAGCCTTAATTCTTGTTTGCATAAAATGTTATTGCATTGTAATGTATAGTTTCTTACCGTGGCCAAGAATCACCATATCCGTCTGGAATTTCTTCAAAACAATATGCAAAGTTGGGTATTCTATGACAACCTTCCCTTTCAAATTGTCTCGAAGGCCTTTGCTGACATCCAGTTCTTCATACCTTTGAAAAAGTAATTGCAAAAGTTTATTGGCAAGCAGATATTTCAAAGTGTTAGAAAATCAAACTTCTTCACAGGCATTGCGACAAATCTCTCCTCCTCCAAATCCAGTGGCGGCCGGTAGGGCTGCAAAGGCGATGTGGCACACCTGTTTTGCCGACTGCTGCCATTTACCAAGAGGGACAATGTGAGAAGCACAGAGGTGCTGGATTGGCTTCACTATGGCATCCACGCCGTGCTGCGCTCTGCACTGATCAAATCCAAGAAAGGAAAGGGCAGTTCTGCAATCCAACATTGTGTGCAAAGTGTGGGCTAGTTTGTGCTGGAATACGGGCCTATACAAGTAATTCCAGGTCTCGTTTTGTTGATTACGCCATAAAAACCCCCGATTTCAGACTTCCCTTCCCTTGATAGTGCTGAAGTACCATGGCCATTGAGGATTAGGTCCACCATTTTAAGGGACAGAGTTAGAAAATAAAAATCTGAAAGGGAGGCTATCAGTGTACTCTGGGATAGATGTGAACCAAATTTCAGCTTCCTGGAAATAAAACAAACATTTCATAACCTGTTGAGCCAGTCAACCGAAACCACTGTTTATATATATATATTCTCTCTCTCTAGTAATTCAGTTTGTATGCTGTGCTGTACACATGGAGGCACATTCCAGGCTGCCACTGGAAATCCCCAAAGCTCATTCAAGTATTTGAAGCAGCAATTGCATGCCCACAGCTCAAACATTCCGTACCAATGTGCAGTTCTCTGCTGGTTGTTGGCCTCTGCCTCGAGACACAAACAGAAAAAAATGGTTCATTTTTAGGCTCTTCGATATAACTTGGGCTGCAGGCATGTATCAAACTTTGGTTTTGCAAGTGATGTGGATACAGTATATATCACCCACAACCCTTTTATGATTCTTTCGTTTCATATTCCTCTAGTAACAAGAGTGACTTGATTAAACCCAATAAATAATCCAACTATTTTAGGCACGTCCAAGCAACGTGAGAGTCCTTTGGGACCTGGAAAAATGGGTGTATAATGAAGGCGGGGAATAACAGGGGGCCATAATGCACGCTGCACTGATGTGCACAGGGACCAGATTCCCTGTGCAAAATGGTTGCCGCCTATATAAAATTGCAGCTTTCCAGCCATGGCACCCATACACCCTTCTTTGCTGCCCACTTAAGGCTCTCCCATTTTCTATTTTTAAAAAATGGGGGGGGGTGTTACCAGTTTTGGGGAGTGCTGCCTTCTTCGTCCATTTTATTTGTTTTAGTGGGGTGCAGGTATTTTGCGTGATCTGGGCATTACAAGTTTTTCTTCTGTGAAGAAATCTGGGCTCAAAAAGGTTGGGAACACATGTTTACAAATAGCTCAGTCATTTGAGGGAGATATATAAATGCTTCCTTTTAAAAAAATAAAATCCAGTAATCGGGGTATCTTCTATCTGACTTTAGTTGTACACGACATTAATTAAGAACTATCGTAGTTAGATGGCAAAGGTAGGATAAAATTATATCAATATACATGTGCAAAACTTTGAAAGTTACAGAACGGCAGAATTATGTAGCAAAACAAAACCAGAAATCTAGTTGACGAAATTAAGAACTATTTGTTTGTGGAAATAGAATTTAAAATGTCATAACTTCATAGTATAATCCACAGCTACTCACACCAGCAGCTCCAAACTAAACTCCCAAAAGAAAACCTCATTTTATTTGTGTGTTCTGGCTCATCCATGTGACTTGGATCAGCCAGCCAATTCCATATAAGGGAGACTTTCTCCTTCTTGGGAGGATGCATTCAAAGCCAGGAGCAGGCATCATCATAGCATTTCTAAATAACTGAAGTAATCCTAAGAACTTAACTGTGCCTATTCCTAATAATTATTACATAAGCAAGCTACGGTCCTTCCAGACCTATACATTTCAAGAGCAAAAAAAAAAAAAAACCAGAGAAAACTTCAACTCCTAAGGCTATTAATAGCCAACACTATCTCAGCAATTATTACAAAAAAAGCAAAGTGAGCTGTAATTCCTCAATTGCCACCAATCTACTAATCCAGTGAATAAAAAGTTAGAGATAAAGTATTGCCTGAAATAGATTCCCAGTATGTTGCCTAGCCTTGACTTTCCACCAACTGTATTATCTATTGTAGAATTCCTTACCAGTTACCACAATATTTTAAATCGATATTACTGGTATACCTCACTGCTTATTGCATAACACTGTATCAGGAGTCAGATTTTTAAAAGTCAAGATGTTAAAAATTTTGCAACTTGCTTTTCTGGTTCTGGAAGAAACAACTTTAAGCAATGGTTATGTCCCTCAAATCCACTTCAATCATCATGAAAATATTTGGTTTCATGTTTCTTTCAACCCAGAGTAATTATGACCAGCTCTTTCTGAAACCTTTCAAAAGGATAACAGTATATTGCGTTTCTTATTCAATGAATGCATTCATAAGTTGTGGATTAACACATGAACAGAACCCATATTTACTGATTTATTTACAGTACTTTTAATGCAAAATATGGCAATACCTTTCTATTGGCAAGAGTCTTAACACATTCTTTTCTGGTTAAGCAAACATCTACCACCAAAAGGCTAAAGTCATTCACATGCCACAATACACTTTCCATTATCTCATGTTTTAGACAAAACATCTTTAGCGTCCAGCTTGGCATAGCATAAAACATTTGTACTTTAAACTATTTTATGATAGTAAATTATTCAAGTGTTAGATCACCAAGGCATAGCTTTAAGTAAACTTTATTGGTTGACAGACAGTGACAGCTTTTGGCAAATAGCCAAGACTCTGGTGCAGTATGAAGAGCAAAAGAATCTTAAGAGAATAGTTTTTTCCTGTAGTGATCTAACTAAATCTCTGAAACTTACTATTCTATTTTGCTTTTACCTTCTTGGCTTCCCTCTCCCCATAAAAACAAACAAACTGTTAACTGTATTCTGCTATCTCTCAAATACAGCTTTGATTTGATTTGCTTTTATAAATTAAAGAGTGTCCCCATTTATAAAATCTATCAACACATTTCACAGCACTTCAAACACAAAAAAACTGTTGCAAATATTAAATGTTTCAAAGTAAATGACAATGTTAGACCAATATTTTACCATTTTATTACTTCTATTGATCATATTTTTGCACAGACCAACTTAATATTTTAAAAAATCCCATAAACAAACCGCATATAAAAACCAGCAATAAACAAAAACAAAAAGACTCATAGAATCGTAGCATTGGAAGGGACCCAAGGGCCATCTAGACCAACCCCCTGCAATGCAGAAATCTCAGCTAAAGCATCCATGACAGATGGCCAACCAACCTCTTCTTAAAAACCTCCAAGGAAGGAGAGCCCACCACCTTCCATGGAAGACTGTCAAACGCCTCTTACTGTCAGAAATTTCCCCCCTGTTTAGTCAGAATCTCCTTTCTTGTAACTTGAAGCCACTGGCTCAAGCCCTACCCCCCAGAGCAGGAGAAAAACAAACTTGTTCCCTCCCCCAAAGTATGTATTTCAAGGAACAAATCCCACCCACCCCACCTTAAGTCCACTTTTGGACCTGTCCTTGGAACAAGTTGCACTCTCTCAGCCTAACCACCAATGGTTACTGCTAATGATGGTCGTATACTGGCTCCAGAATCAGAGGCAACACACCTCTCAATGGCAGTCACTGGGGGAGAACAGCGGGAGAAGGCAGTTGTGCTCCTGTCATTGCTTGTGGGATTCCTACAGGTATCTGTGCTGGTCAAAATGGGCCCTTGGTCTGTGGTCCATCAGGGCTTGCGATTAAGAGGGTGCAATTGTAATTGGCGTTCTTGAATTTTATCCTTGAGGGTGGGAGGTTTTAAGATAGATCGATTGTGAAGATAGTTTCTCACAAATAAGAGGCTGTGGTCTCCTAAGTGACATGTTCAGGAGCTCTTCTTTTAGTTGAATTTGTGGTCCACCAATACCTTTGGTGACATCGTTTTAGCACCAGGTGAACGCTACTCTCTCCCCCCGTGCCATTGATGGACTGAGATTATGCTGTTTTGCTTGTGTGGCTGTTGCATGTTTTAAAATGGGTATTAATTGCCTGGAGACCTTTAGATCAGTGTTTCCCAACCTTGGGCCTCCAGCCGTTTTTGGACTACAACTCCCATCATCCCTAGCTAGCAAGACCAGTGGTCAGGGATGATGGGAATTGTAGTTCAAAAACAGCTGGAGGCCCAAGGTTGGGAAACACTGCTTTAGATAACAAGTCTAATGATAAGCAATAATAATAATAAGGTAAAGGACCCCTGGATGGTTAAGTCCAGTCAAACGCGACTATGGGGTTGCGATGCTCATCTAACATTCAGGCTGAGGGAGCCAGCGTTTGTCCACAGACAGCTTTCCAGGTCACGTGGCCAGCAGGACTACACCGCTTCTGGCGCAACAGAACACAATGACGGAAGCCAGAGTGCACGGAAACACTGTTTACCTTCCCGCCAGAGCGGTACCTATTTATCTACTTGCACTGGCATGCTTTTGAACTGCTAGGTTGGCAGGAGCTGGGAAAGAGCAATGGGAGGTCACACTGTTGCGGGGATTCAAACTGCTGACCTTCCGATCGGTAAGCCCAAGAGGCTCAGTGGTTTAGACCACAGCGCCACCCTCCCAATTAAGCAATAATACCATTGTAAGGAATATGAGGCTCTAGTGCCTTGATACAGGGGACAGTCTGCTGGAATCATCAAGGGCAAGCTCAGCATTCCCACCAACTGGGGTTGGTGGTATCCTTTTTGCTGCTATTTGGATGTTTTGTACTTTATTGTTAGGCATTATTTCAGTGTTTATTAACATGAGATGTTTGTTTGCCCTTACTGATATTAGCGTGACTTTGTGTTCTGCTTTGTAACTGTTAAGGCATCATCACGAAATGTTGCATTTATTCTGTGCGTTGTTGTGAGCCACTCTTTTCCAGCATGGTTCTAGTGCCATACAAATAAGATCACGATGTACACACCTGCAATTTGTGTGTGTGTGTG